TCTCAGAAGGTGACCTCGGCACCTCCCACCTCATCACTGCGTCAACCTTGGCCGGATCGACCAATATCCCCTTCTGGTTAACGAGATGTCCCAGAAACTGGACCTCCCGTAACCAGAAATCGCACTTGGAGAACTTTGCGTAAAGCTTCTCCGCTCTCAAAACCCCAAGCACCTCCCTCAGATGCTCCTCGTGCTGCTCACTAGATCTCGAATATACCAGAATATCATCAATGAAAACAATCACCGACCGATCCAACATCGGCCGACATACCCTGTTCATGAGGTCCATGAACACAGCCGGGGCATTAGTGAGCCCGAAAGGCATCACCACAAACTCATAATGCCCATAACGTGTCCTGAATGCTGTCTTCTGGACGTCCTCGTCCCGCACTCTCACCTGATGATAGCCCGACCTCAAATCAATCTTGGAGAACCAAGATGCTCCCTGTAGCTGATCGAATAAATCGTCGATCCTCGGCAGCGGGTAACGGTTCTTGACCGTCAGCTTATTCAATTCCCGGTAATCAATACACACATGCGATGCGAACCATCCTTCTTCTTCACAAACAAGATGGGTGCTCCCCATGGCGAGCTACTCGGCCGAATAAACCCCTTCCCCAGCAACTCCTGAAGTTGCGAGGATAACTCCTGCATCTCTGGAGGCGCAAGGCGATACGGCACCTTAGCAATAGGTGCAGCCCCCGGAACCAAATCGATGCCAAACTCCACTTGCCTCGCGGGAGGCACTCCTGGTAACTCTTCGGGAAATACATCAGGAAACTCCCGCACCACCGGAACTTCCTCCACAGAGCTTGGTCTCTCGGAGATCACTCGCGTATCCATCACATACGCTACATAACCCTTACAGCCCTGCTGTAAACACTGCCTCGCCCTAGCAGCCGAACAAAAGGCTGATCCAGAACGTGTACCCTCGCCGTACACTGAAAGAACTCCCCCACTAGGATCTCGTATAGTCACCAGCTGTCGCTCGCAATCGATAACCGCACCGAATCGGCTCAACCAATCCATGCCCACTATAACACAAACATCACCCATCGCAATCGGAATCAGGTCGATCGGAAACTCGACCCCGAATATCTCCAATACACATCCCCGGAAGACCTCTGTAGCACAAATCACCCTGTCGGCGGCTATGGAAACCCGCAGAGGCCGACTCAATACTCCACGACTAACACTGATACGCTGACTAAATGCCAAGGATACAAAAGATCGACTCGCACCCGAGTCAAATAACACTAAAGCAGGTACAGAATTCACAAGGAAGGTACCTAAGCATAGCATGATATAAGCATAATATCTCAACACCATAAACAATAATGAAAAGGAAACATACCAGCCACAACGTCGGGCGCGGCGCGGACCTCTTCCGCAGTCAGCTGGAAGGCTCTCCCCCGAGCCCTCGGTGCCTCGGCCTTCACGGGCCGACTCTCTGCAGCAGTAGCTCTGATGGCGGCGGGAGCAGACCCCTGAGATGCTCCGCGCAGCAGCGGACACTCCGCCTTCCGGTGTCCAGTCTGGTTGCAGTGGAAGCACACTGCAAATCCCTTGGGGCAGTCCTTAGCCATGTGCCCCTCCTTGCCACATTTGTAGCAAGACCCTGCCCGACAGGCGCCATCGTGACCCTTGCCGCACTTCCCACAAGTGCGGCCCTTCTGGCTCCCGGGTCTGGGATCAGCGGGCTTGGCCCGCTTGGCTGCCGGCTGGGACTGTGCCGGTCGCCGATCCCTCCCCATAGACTCCGCCTCCTCCCTGGCCTGAGTCTCAAGCTCAATCTCCCTCTTCCGAGCATTTGCCTGAAGCTCGGCAAATGTCCGGTACGAGGAGTTCGCAGCGAACTCCCGAATATCCCGCCTCAAGATGCTCAGATAACGGCTCATACGTGCCTGCTCGGTGGACACGTGCTCAGGGCAAAACATCGCCCTCTCCTGGAACATCCTCGTAATCGCTGTAACCGACTCGGTACCCTGCTTGAGGGTCAGAAACTCCTGCGCCAGACGTTCCCTCTCCACCTGAGGAACATACTCATCCCGGAACATGGAAGTGAACCTCTCCCAGGTCACTGCCGAAAGCTCAGTCGGTGTGAAATGCGCAGTCACAAACTTCCACCAGTCCTTCGCTCCCAAGCGAAGCTGGTTCAATGCGAACCGAACCTTCAAATGCTCAGGGGACGAGCAAGTGAAGAAGCATCCCTCCATATCAGATATCCACCTCATAGCTGCCACCGGGTCCTGCGTACCATCAAACTCTGGTGGCTTGGTGTTGCTGAACTCCCTGAACAACATCGCATCACCTCCCTGGGGTCTCGCCGCAGCAATCGCTGCGGTAGCTGCTGCGACCGCAGCCTCAGAAAGAGCGGCATAGCGCTCGTCAAATGTCTCAATCAAGGCGGTCTTAATAGACCCGAACATCTCTGGTATCTCGGCTCTGATGACCGCAGCCACCTCCTCATGAATGATCTGCCGAATGTCCTCATCACTAGATCCGGCATCCTCCGGCATGTGTCGTGTCCTCACCATGATCAACCTCTGAAATACAACATGCGATAATTAGAATTCACTCGAATACTCTTACATTCAACAATCCATCCCTCCTTGATTCTTGGCATCCCCAGATTCTTATTTGGACTGTGTACCGCACCGGTGCTTTGAGTAGTACGGGCCCAATACTACTGTCCGCACCGTCTCAGTACACACCCCAAATCGTCCTCTTCGGATCCCAGTCCCCAAGTACTCTATCATACTCAAATCACTCTGGAACAAATCTCACACAAAGCCCTAGCTGCTACCTAATTACTCTTAGCATCTCATAGCAGCTCACCATTCCCTAAGCTAAGGCATCACAAAACAGGCCACTCTAGTCCTATCAGCAATACCTAGCCTGCTCTAGCATGCAAACACATCACAGTATTAATTATTTCATAACAAAAGGTATTTTGGGAATTCACCGTTCGGGCGCTGACTGATCGTACACACGTTTCTTCCTGGAAAACCCTTTACTCTTAGAAAATTTTGGTTTTTATTTTTGAAAATATCCCTTTAATTCCTCAGTTTGAGTTCAAATACTCCCGAAGGTGTACCCGAATCCCTCAAACCAAGGCTCTGATACCAATTTGTAACACTGATTTTTCAAACAAAATTTTCAATTTTTATATAACATAATTCCACTAATATTCATAAAAACACCCATTTTACTTGTTCAATAAAACAGTACAAAATCCCAAGATCAACATGTAAAACTTCAAACGTGTGTGTACGGATCAAGCCGGCGCCTTCCCGCGGTCGTCACTAACACCTGAAACAAATAACATCAACACTGTAAGCACAAAGCTTAGTGAGTTCCCCAAAATACCACATAAAACACATATTAGCCACTCGAGGCTATAACTCTGTGGGTCCGTGCACCCAAACTCTGTGAACCCTCAGGTTCTAGCTCTGATAAACATGCACCACATAAATCACATATAAATCATGCAGTACAACACATAACATACATAGCATACAAATACTCTAACACATAACTCTGGTTACCTACTCAAGGTAAAGTATAGTGAGGAGACTCACCTCGTGTGTCTCGGTAACTCGTAACCCTGAAATCACTAAACACCGATCCGCCGAGCTGTAGTCCCCCTATAGCACAATACATCTCTAATTAACACTCTCCCAATCTAGAGTTGATCACACTATAACAAATCACTCTTGGTCAACGCTGGTCAACGGTCAACTTTGACCGGACTCGGCGAGTGCACTATGGCGACTCGGCGAGTCCGTGCGCATGCACCAACTTCCCTGGAATCCTCCCTTGACACGTCGAGTATTTCCCCCAACTCGACGAGCTCCACCTGGCACGAGTTGTGGGGCCACCACGACTCAACTCGCCGAGTCTCAAGAACAACTCGGCGAGTCCAGTTTGACTCGGTCCACCTGTCCATCCTGACTCCCCCTTTGACCCACTGAGTTCACTCATCCCAACTCGGCGAGGCCACTCACTGAGTGGTCGTGCAACATTCAAGCTACTCGCCGAGTCTGTTCTTCGGACTCGGCGAGTCCATGCCATGCACTGACTCAATCTTGCTCAAAAGGCCAGATCCAGTCCACTAATCCATAGATCCAGTCCCCCCATGCTTATTTAGCACGTAAAGTCACAATCTTGATGCATAAATATCCTCTACATGACCACAAATGATGATTTTGACTCTATTACTTCAACACAAGGCCAAGGACTCCATTTTCACCCATAAAGCTTGATGAGTGAGGCCCTCTGGACCTCTATGGATCCAGATCCATGGTCTCAACTCAAAGAGGGAATGAAAAGGACACCAAATCACCCCAAAAATGATCATATTAAGCCCTAACTTGCATCAAGTTCATCAAACAGGAAATGGTCCGAAAATAATACCTCTAGAGTGATGATCCAAGCTCCAAATCCACGAAATAGCAACCTCCTTTGCTTCCTCTTGCCTAGAGCCTCCTTCTTCTTGCTAAACAACACTTACAAGGTCAAGATTTGCTCTCAATCCTTCACCAAACGCTCAAGAACTCTAGGGACACACTCTGGGGGTTGGATGAGCGCAAATGACGGCCATAAGGCCCTTTAAATAGGCCACAAACCCGGAGATTTAGGGTTTCACTACACAGCGCAGACTCGCCGAGTCCATACCTTGGACTCACCGAGTCCAAGCGCGCACCTTCGCTCAATCCCGCGTCTCTACTCGGCGAGTCTGAGCCCCGACTCGCCGAGTCCCTCTAAAAAATAACATAATTGAACTTTCATTATACCTGGTAAAAATCCGGATGTTACAGTACTCCACGAGGGATTCCAAAAATACCCCTAGAAACTTGTCAATGTTGGACTCCTTGGTTAATCCAGAAAGAACCCCCGAAAGATCCATTTATCACAAAATCAAAACCATGTTCAGGAAACATAAAGAAAAATAAAAACTTTGAATTGTCAAAATAAAGAAAAAATTTATCCTTTGAGGCCTACCTATTTTCCTTCAAGATATTAACAGCCTTTTTAGGGAGCACTTCCACGGATTGCAACTGCCATGTAAATAAGAAGGGTATAAATTAACTGCATAGAGTTACGGATAAACAACATATGGCAAGCAAGAATACCTGTACTGGCCTAACATTGTCGTGATTAAATTGCATTCTCTGTTATACCTTGTAATAGATAAGAAAAACTGTTAATTGATGATCCTACTATAATATGCACTTCATAATGTAAAAGTTAAATCAATTACTTGGTTATAACCAGCAGGGGCTGCTGAAGCATACGGTCCATAGCTTCCTGCCATTCCAATATTCCCTGTATTGCTTCCTGGCTTATATTGTGGAAGCGGGTATTTAGAATTAGAGGTGGCAGCCACTAGTGGTGGTGGTGCTGGATACATGCCTCCGCCGCCTTGTTGTGGGAATGTCTCGTTGCTTAAAAACTGATGGATAGCAGGTGGTGGAGGGACATAAAATGGGGAGAAATATGGACCGTATGGGATGTAATTTGGAGGGTAATGAGGTAGATGAACCCCTGGTGGCTGCCGGAAAACAGGTAATGGTTGTTGAGTGACGGATATGGAGCTTTGCATGACTCCGACGGTTTGTGTGGCGGTTGTTGGTGTTGGACTGGTGGTGGATAGCATTAGTGAGTTCCCGACCTGTGGTTTCAATTAATTAGTATATAGAGGCATATATATGGTTAAATTTGTTGGCATTTAAGAAACAAACCTCTTGAGAAGAGTGAGAAGGTTGTTGAACATTTCAATTGTACTTTGTGGTTGAGTGGAAAGGTGACATGCTCCCATCACTCTCACGATAAAAGTGAGCATAATAGCTTGCTAGATCAAACAGTTGCTGAACCTGTAAATAATTTTCTCAAAAAAATCATTTTCTTTTTTAATTAATTAATTAATGGATTATAAATAAATAAATAAATAAATAAATAAATAAATAAATAAATAAATAAATAAATAAGGGTGGTAGGGTCTTACTACAAAGCTTGGGACATGAGAAGCATCGTGTGCCTGAGACTTGGTGTTTTCAAAAGATGTAACTTGGCTTCCAATCATTGGTGGCATGAACCCAAAACTGAAGTTTCGATTTGGTGATGAATGAACAGCTGGGTATTGATGACTTGGAGTAGGGAGTGAAGAAGAAGAAGAAGAAGAAGAAGTAGATGAAGAAGAAGAAGAAGAAGAAGAAGAAGAAGAAGTCTCTTGCTTCGACTCTCTGCACTCGGGTCCCACATTCAATGACATGTCACCTTCTGTTGGTAAATTCTTGGGTACATTAGATGAAGATGTGGTAGGTTGTTCAAGATGATCCTCCTCTCCATCAGCATTTTCATTTCTGAACCACTAAAGTGCATACATTTATCAGAAAATGTTGTCTACTCCAATATGAAATACAACCTAAGTAACAGAAACCTGGATTGCATTTGATCCTCTATAGTTTCATCAGCCTCCTCAGATGCTTCAGACATCTTTTCACTCATGGTCACAACCACAAGACCATTTGAGTTTGAGGGGGTTTTATTAAAACCAAAAATGGCATCAAAACTCCCAAAACAGAAGCCGAGTTTTTCGACTTCAGGAACATGAAGGTGATTTGGGATAATGACATGTTTATCATCTGAAATGTGGGACTCCTTTAGCTTCTTCTCAAGTTCATCCTCCTATGAATCAAGAATAGTGCAGGATGCAGAAGAAACTATTGTTGGAGTATGAGCTTCAACTAGAACCACAACCACAGGCACCTTAATTGACCTTTGACTTTGAGAAATTGGTTTCGGTTTCCATTCCATGCTAGGACCAACCGTAGGAAATCACAAACAAGTTTATCATTAAGTTATACTGTTTCACTTCTAATAAAAGCATTCATTTAAAAGTTAAGGTATCAGTGTCTTGATACCTTTTTGAGGTCCAATTGCTTGTTGCATCCTATTATTATAATTTGATGAAGGCCTGGAAATGGATAAGGAGACAGCTGTCGTTTCACCTTCCTTCTTGTTTTTTCATAGAGATTCTCTAGATGAAAATCTTGTTCTAAAAGAATTGTCACTGCAACATCCTGGAAAGTAGTGGAGTTTGTAAAGTTTTAAATGAAAAGACCAAAATACCCTCGTTACATATATAATAATAAAAGGAAAAAGGTGTATTACTTACAGAGCCATTCCAATCAGCACAATGAACAATACCAAAAGAACCAGTGCAAATGTTGGTCTCGCTGCCTAGTCTGTGAATCGACTTCTCCCCTTCACAATTCTGTAAATCCTTAAATTTGAACCTTAGTACAGGTTCTTGCCTCCTTTAAACTATAAAGAGTCAAACCCCATGAATTTCCAAATATGAAAGCGAATTGCTTAATAAATAAATAAACCAGTATCACATAATCAAACTAAAGTGACATTGATTAAAGTCAAAAAAGATTAAAGTCAAATGTCAAAGTGAATTGATTAAAGTCAAAATACATGCAAAATCGACCTTGAGATCGATTTTGAGAGGCTAAATAAAATCGGAATGCAAAAGATGAGAATTAGAGTGAAGATGATAACGTCAGTATACATTAAGAATCGCTCTCACATACTTCTTATTGGAGGAGGAAGCAGCTCATCTCCAGGAGCTCCATCTCCAGTGCAAATCAACCCACATCCTTCTTATTGGAATCCTTTGTCTTAGAGAATAGAGATGAAGGAGGGTAGGAAGCGATATCTAGGGTTCGAGTGTGAGAGAGAACCGTTATTGCATCGCCGATGATAATATTTCATTAGACGCACTCCAAAATCAACCTGAATTCGGATCCTTCGAAGGCACCAGTGGGAGGTATATGTTTTCCCTAGATCCTGAACTCCCACCGGATTTCTTCCCAGACTTCATGCTCTTCCATGGGTCGACTTTCTTCCCTTTGCCACTCTGATTACACAAACGTACCTGCGAGAGTCGGTCCTCAAAAATTTCAGTCTCGAGTGATTCGGAGGTGGGACCACCTGTAGAGGAAGAATCATCGAGCGTTTCTTTCATTTTGAAGGAGAAGGTTAGGGGCAGCGGTGCGTGCGATCTGAGTGGGGATAGAGGGATTGGTGTTTCGATCTTGAACTGGTATCTTGAGATGGCGGAAGTGTGTGCTTAGGTTTCTAGATGCACTCCAAACTCTTAAAGCTTATCAGGTTCGATGTTGGTGGTGGCAGCTTAGGTCTTAGAGAGAGAGAGAGAGAGAGAGAGAGAGAGAGAGAGTACAGAGGTAAAGGAAGACGAGCCGATTCAAAAGGATGTGTTGATTCAAAAGGATTATTAGGGTTCTATTGTAGGATTCTAGTGTGGATTGAGTTTTTAAGGCTCAATGGCGGTGGCAGTGGCGATGGCTTAGGGTTTACAGAGAGAAGGAAGGAGTGAATGAAAAGGGAGATACTGAGGAGAGAGGGTAGAAGTGGGGTTCTTTAAAATTTTAGAATTTCAGACGATTTCATTTTCCCCCTTTAAAAACACGCGTTTAGGAAAAAAATATAAAGCGACACATTTAGAGGACGCACACTTTATGAAAGGCGCCCTCCACATTTCTTTTTTTTCTTTTCTTACGCTAATTTTAGGGCACGCACAAATGCGCGCCCTCTATCCTTCAAATTTTGCAAAGCTGACATTATTTTTTAGGGCACGTACAAATGCGTGTCGTCTATCAGAGAGTGTCATTGTTTGCGCGTCATTAAAGGTCTATTTTCTAGTAGTGCACTGTGAAGGCGCATGAACAGTTCAAATCCTACTCACTGGCGAATCTAGTTGGGATACTAAAGTCACATGAAAGTGTTGTAACTAAGGAGGCGAAAGTGGTCTCTGGCATGGGATCGCTGGCTCTTGTCTCTAAAGGAAAAAGTGATGTTGAGGAAGAAGAAGAGTCAGACATGTCAGAATGTGATCTAACAAGTGAGGAGTATGCTTTAATGATAACAAATCCAAAGAAATTCGCAAGAAGAAAATTTCCCACCAATAAGAACCGAAATTGGTAGGGAAGTTATAGTTCTGAGAAAGCAAAAGAGGAACCAAAAGTCTCTTCTCAAAAGGTGGAAGAGAAAAAGGAAAACAAGCTTGCAGGAGACTCTGGATACGACTGCAATTATTGTCACGACAAGAACAACTTTGCCAAAGATTGCATGTTAAGAAAGATGGCTGAGAAGAGAGAAGGTGAAGATGATGAAGCGTATTACATGCGAAAACTTGAAGAAGTCAAGAAGGAAAAGGCTTCCAACAGATCGATGAATGCTCTAATTGTACAAGAAAATGCAGGGGAAGATGAGTTCGGTGGTGTAGAAGTCTGGTCAATAGACTCTGAAGACGAAGAGGTTAGAAGACCCACTCATGGAAAGGCGTTTGTGGCAAAGAATGGAGGTTCTGGTGGAAAATGCTTAATCATCGCTACTGGTCCATCAACCAAAAGTGCAGACACATAACCGAACATGACTGAAAACAAGTGTTTTGCAGCCAAGCCGGTGAGTGAGAAGATCAACGACTGCGATCAATTGATCAAAAAGGTACATTCTATTCTTGAATCTCTTAAAATTCCCAAAACTGAATATCTAGAAGAATTAAATGAACTAAACTTTAAATTTTCCAACCTAAGTAGTAGCCTCATGCAAACCCGCTTAGCAAACTCTAATCTAACTGACCAACTCGACTGGGTATCTTCAAAAAGTGAGGAGAGAAGGATCTGGATTGAGCAGAAGGAAGCAGAGTTAGTTAGGGCTAAGGATGAGAGTATTTATTTGCAAAGAGACAATTTGAAATTGTTAAAACAAAGAAATGTTTTCTGTTTAATTGCTAAGCGGCTTTATACTAATATTGCTCAATTACATGTTAATTGTGAAATTGGAAAGAAAATACATAAAATGATTTTGCCCTTTCTTGAGTTTAAGGAAGATGATGTTATAGCTGAGTGTGAATCAGAAGTATCCTCTGAAGAAACATCCATGTCATATAGGCTAGGTTTAGATAAGATAGAAACTTTCATCGATTTTAAGGAACATAAAAGTATGTTAAAAGATATCTTGGATGAAAATGATAGGCTAAAAATTAAAACCGAAACTATACAAACATTCGATGAATCAAATGCCAAAATTGTCAAGGATAATAAAATAAACATAGATAATTCTTTTGAATTTGAAACGGAGAGTGAAATGAGTGAAATCTCAGTAGAGGATGTTGTTGATTGTTCTAAGTTTGTGACAAATGAAATCAAGAGCGAAAAACCTCTTATTTCAGAAAATTCAGTTGAGTTTGCTTGTCTGTCAAAGGAACAGAAACCGAAACTCAAAGAAAAGGCCTTGGTCTATCAGAAGGTACAGACCGTACCAAACCAAGTTTATGCTGTGACTGGAGTCACTCAACAACAAACAGCAGAATTAAGGACAATAGTTGACGAGGATAATGGTGAAGGATGTGAAGACTATTTCTGGTCTGCTCCCATTGACAATGCAGATGAAACTGTGGGTCTGTCTAAGAAAACCACATGGAGAGTCAAAGGACGATACATAACAGAACCCATCAATAAACCTTCTAGTTTCGATATTCCCAGCACAAGCGGAACTAAAGATGTTCCTGAAGAACCATTAATGTAACCTGATGTTCCAATCGAGAGGAAAGAACCGAAAGGTCCACTCAAGAGACAGGAAGCACCGGAAGTTCAAAATAAGGAACGCACTGAAACCAGAATGGAAGACAAGACAACTGCAACTCATAAGGAGAAATCAAAGGCCAGCTTCAATGTTCACAAATCTCAGAAGGAGCTAGCTGAACAAAAAAGACTCAGAAATCAACAATATGCCTCGAATCTGAATGAACGGAAAAGGAATTGGAATTCTCAAAATCCTAACTATGAGCCTCCTAGGAAAGAATCCATGGATAAAGGAAAGGAAAATTCAAAGGAAGATTTCAGTCCTAATTCCTATTATTCCAAATCCCAAAACCGAAAGTCAAGTCTCGGTTCTAGACCCAATTTCGATCATCAACCCAATTTCGGTCATCAACCCAGTTTCGATCCTCGACCCAAGTTCGGTCCTAACACCAGTTTCGGTCCCAATTCTAGACATGGATCCTCCAAGTTCCAAGCTGAAACAAATTTCTCTAAGGACATCAAAGGAAAAGGCAAACTGGTATCATAATCTGAGTATGAACATAAGAGATCCTCTCCTAAACCTAAGAATCAAACGAAAAACACTAAACCATCTAATGTAGATACATTAAGATTTAAAGAAGATAAAACAAAAATCAAGGTGTTCACCATCAAAAGAAAAGATCAACAACTCTTGTTAAACGAACTTACTTAGTTGATGCTTCTATTGTTATTCCTTTCTCTGTGAAAAACTCACCATGACCCAAGAAACTTTGGATTCCTAAATTTTCTTGAATTTGCAGGTAATCAGTGACGAGCAGTTGGACGAAGCATGGTATATAGACAGTGGCTGCTCACGTCACATGACAGGAAGAAAGGAGAAATTAAGGGAGTTTCGGTCTCTAAAGGTGGTGGTTCTGTGAAGTTTGGAAACAACTCCTATGGAACAATCAAAGGATATGGGATGATAACTAATGGAGACTTCTCTATCAGAAAGGTGGCTTATGTAGAGGGATTGCAGCACAACCTCATCAGTGTCTCGCAATTAGTTGTGGGCACAGGCTTGAAGATATCATTTGATGATGCAGGATCTGAGATAATAGAAAAACAAACCAAGAAACATCTACTGCAATCTGCTAGAAAAAGAGAAATGTATCCTCTGAATCTTAATCCTATTCGAGGGACACCAGCTATCTGTCTGCTATCAAAGGCAAACACTGATGAAAGTTGGCTTTGGCATCGACGTCTATCACACCTAAACTTCAAAGATATCAACAAATTAGTGATTGGTGATCACGTTTGAGGTCTTCCTCTTCTCAAGTTCGATAAGGAGCATTTATGTGCAGCATGTGAAATGGGTAAGCAGAGCAGAAAAAGCCACCCTACACACATTATTACCAAGATAGTGGAAGCACTTGAACTGTTACATATCGATTTGTGTGGACCTTCTGCTATAGAGAGTATCAGTGGAAGTAAGTACAGTCTAGTTATTGTAGATGATTTTTCACGCTTCACGTGGGTTTTCTTTCTTAAACAGAAATCAGATGCAACTCCCAAGCTGAAGATGTTCATCAAGCAAGTGGAAGTTCAATTAAAGAAGACAGTGAGAAACATCTGAAGTGAAAATGGGCTGGAATTCAAAAACAAGGATTTCGAAGACTTTCTGGCTGACAAGGGGATAACACACAATTTTTCGGCCCCTTATACACCACAGCAAAACGGGATTGTTGAAAGACGAAACTGACCGTTGTGCGAAGCAGCTAGAACCATGCTCAGTTATGCCTCTCTACCTCTATACTTTTGGGCTGATGCCATTGCTGCTGCCTGTTATACTCAGAATCGGTCCTTGCTCAACAATAGATTCTCGATAACTCCTTATGAGATCTCAAACAATCGGAAGCCAAACTTCAAGTTTTTCGACATTTTCGGTTCCAGGTGCTTTATCTTTAATTCTAAAGAAAACCGAAATAAGTTTGATGGTAAAGCCGATGAGGGGATCTTTCTGGGTTACTCTCTGTCATCAAAAGCATACCGGGTGTTGAACAAGCGTTCCAAAAGAATAGAAGAGACTTATTATGTCACCTTTGATGATAATTACATGAAGAAGGTTCAAAGAACAGAAGATGCTTCAGGAGACATATTTCCAGCATCTGGACAGGTCTCGGTTCCAATATCCAATCTGTTCGATGAATACATTCGGTTATTTGATGAACCAGAAAAGGCAATACATTCGGAGGCAACAACAGCAGAGAACAAGGTAGATAATCTGAAGAAAGTAATAGACGAAGCTGCCAAATCAATGGAAACCGAAACACCTACTCCTACACCATCACCTAGTACTTCAAACACCGATTCAACGTTCCAGGGGGAGAATTCTTCCACTTGCAAACCATCTGGAGTTCCTGTTGAGGGGGAGAATCAC